CATTGCCGCCTGAAGTTTCGCTGCACCTTTTTCATGAAATTCGCATAAAGCCAGTAAAGAAAGCGCTGTTGATGTGCCATAAAGTGACCAAAGGTTTAGTGCCGTACAAGAGCTTGTACCGGACGTAGGATCACAACAACGTTCATTCAATTTCCATTCATGATCGTCGACATGTGCATGATTTATCGGAATCTCATGTTTTCAATATGCGGGCATATCCGGGAGGGCGATCGAATGGACCTAATGATTCACCCCCGAAAACAACTATAGATGCAAACTAATACATCGGACGAACACAATGAAGAATTTTTGCACAATGAGAATGATTCACATACTGTTCCTGCTTCTGACCCATTTTTTTCTACGCTTTGAAAACGTCAGCTCTTCATTGTAAATGGATGGTCCACAGTAATCATAAAATGATTCCCTTCGTGCAAACCACCTCATTCTAATCACAGCGTCTTGCGGCGTAGACTTACAGTTATACTAAGCGCACAAATTAACCTATTATATTATAATAAAATTAGCAGATGTTGGCACCTTTATAATAATACTTGCTACTCATTCTCGTAGAAATGCAAGATAATGAATGCCACAAATATGAAAAATACATTTGTAAATTCGCATTCGAACATACTCATCTTTTAACAATCAAGAAATAATTCATCTCACAGGCCTGCCATCACGCACGGAAATACACAAAAAACGAGGTGAATTTACATAACAACAAAAAGAAAATATTTCAATTTTAATAAGAATTAAAATCAGCAGTGGAGTATCCACACTCACAGCGGGCGAGTTTAGCCTGCGGCATATCCAACCGTTAATTTCTTCGCATGAACTTCGCATCTGTTGTTGACAGCGGCGTGTCACTATGCGTTTATTAGCCCCACGTCTCGTGGGAAGGCAATCGGCAGTCGTTGAACTCTTTTTCCTAACTGCCGTAGGCCATACGGAGAACACGAGCTGTTTTAAGCTTTCGTACATATGTAGAAACCGCTCTATCAGGAGCTTCTCTGTTCACTATGAACTGTGGATCTAGCCGGATAGAACATTAAACGCCTTACAGACAGACCGATAAATTACAACATGAAGAAACCGTATACAGTTCAATCTTAGGTATCCTAGCCTGGGTGTATACGCGTGATTGATTTTCTTTAGAAATTTTCACTCATAAATATATGCTAATTTATCTCTTACAACTTTGTCTCCATCTTGTGGTAATGCACATAAGTGATATTTATTACATGCAGTAAGGATCAGAGCTTCTTCGCGAGTAAGCCATTGGCACACGCACTCACATAGATTCAGTATCACGCTGAAGTGAGTGGAAGTTGCACAGTACCATGCCACATGCTGCATAAACTAATGCATCCATATAGAAGATGGTGCTCAGAATTGTGAACGAAAAATTCGCAGATCTAACGTACAATGGAAATCAATGTAAGGCGAAGCACGAAGGAGGAAAGGTTTGGAATACGACATGCGAACGAAACCATCGCAAGAACAGCAGGACCATGACATGTGATTTACGACATTCATGACATACATGTCATGATTATCATGGTATGACTAGCGAAATATGCTCATCATACAGGCATGATATGTCATACCAATTTGGTACAGATTCGATTATCAAGGCGGCCAGAAGAGCTAAAAGTCGTGGGGTGGCTAGATAGATAGATAGATAGATAGATAGATAGATAGATAGATAGATAGATAGATAGATAGATAGATAGATAGATAGATAGATAGACGGATGGATAGATAGATAGATAGATAGATAGATAGATAGATAGATAGATAGATAGATAGATAGATAGATAGATAGATAGATAGATAGATAGATAGATAGATAGATAGATAGATAGATAGATAGATACGCTCAAAGTCACCGAAATTCGCTGAAAAATGTTTCGCACTTAAAAACAATAGGGGAAACAACAAACCGCAAAGAATTAGAAGCAAGACGTAAGATGCTTCTAGAACTTCAAAAATCAAATCCAGGTGGACAAATAAAAGGCAGCGAGAACAGACTTGCGATAATAGGAGCAAAATCTTCCGGGTTTCTGTTACGTTTATAGCATAGGTATAGCACTGCATTGCTTCTGTATCACTAACCATATGTTAGATGAGAAACAGTTACACAATGATGTGGTTTTGGATGACAAAGTTTTCATTCAGTATTTATTACAAACCTGTGGAAACAGTAAACATAATAATTATTATTGAAGTTTGGCACCATGAATAATAGAACTAACAGAGGAGAGGATGTAGCTGTATCTTTTCATAGTTTTTTTTTCATATCAGCAAGAAATAGCCATCATAAACCAAACACTGTCAATTTTAACTGCCCAATACAGGAAACGACATTCATATTCCAAGTAACTGAACATGAGGTGTCCTGTCTGCAATCATATCTCTAAACAACTCTACCCATGCTGATTTAGATGATCTGCATATTCGGCCCCTTAAGTACGTTGCCACTCTTAGCAGGTGGAGCTCTTAGCAGCAGGCTAGAAAAGATACTAAGAAATTTTGGGAGTCCACTTTTATGCAAAGCTCCCAGTTTGTGATGTCTAGTAACATTACAGTAATAAGTTATGCGTTGATGAGACTATTTAGAAAAAATGATTACTAATAACTGTCCCATTTACATTATACCCACATATACGTCACGAAAATAAATACGTCAACCCCACCGCGGTGGTCTAGCGGCTAAGGTACTCGGCTGCTGACCCGCAGGTCGCGGGTTGGAATCCCTGCTGCGGCAGCTGCATTTCCGATGGAGGCGGCATTGTTGAAGGCCCATGTGCTCAGATTTGGGTGCACGTTAAAGAACTCCAGGTGCTCAATATTTCCAGAGCCCTTCACTACAGCGTCTCTGATAATCATATGCTGATTTTGGACGTATAAACCGCACATATCAATCAAAAAAAAATAAGTCACTACGTGCGAATAAATGCGGTCAGTATACCTTTAGGAAACTGTATTAGTGATCATTGTCCAATCGCATTATACCCAGATAATGTGTCGCGGAAGTAAATACGTCACGACGCGTAAAACACATGTAGAGTACACCTCATAAATAAAATACACAATAACCTGAGCCATTTATTTAACAATAAGTTTGAAGCCACTATGTTTTAATTATTCCCAATTACATTACTAGCATAATCTTGAGTTGTCATACCAGCGAAATGAAGACGAGGATCTTTTCTTCCTTAATTGCAATCGGACAGCCAAACTCGCCACGTGCAAATAATAGAACGCATGTATGGAGAACCACCAACCTCCAAAAATTATTTGCTGGGCTTTTTAGTAGTGCTTAACTGCCTTTAGACTATTGCCGCAAGCATATTAAACATTGCTTCACTTTCTGCACCATACCGGTCTAGCAGCGCACATATAATACATCTGTGTAGATTGTTTTTATTTTTTTCAAAAGATTTAGACTGAGAAAAACGTAGTTTTAGGACATGCTCAAACAGGTCTCGCCAACGGGCTGATGTTCTCAAAATACATCAAAATTGATATACGTGGCCCGCTATCATTGGCATTCAGGGGTAAAGTTGGACTTCAATGTGCTTAAATTAGCTCGAAACAAAGTTTAAAGCGCATCGAATTAACAATATAGATATAGAGCAAACCTTCGTTTTTAGTAATATAATAATAATTTGTGGGGCTTTACATCCCATAACCGCGATATGATAAATAAGGACGCCGTTTTGGAGGGCTGCGGAGATCTTGCCCGTCCGGCGTTCTTTTACGTGCACCGACATTGCACAGTACGCGAGCATCTACGATTTCGCCTCTATCGAAATACGACCGCAGCGGCCGGGGTCAAACCCGCTACCATCTGCCGAGCCCTTTTCCACTGAGGAGCATCATTCTTAATAATAACAATATCTCGGATTTACGGGCTAAAATTTCGAGACAGTAATGAGCCATGCCGCGTAGAGGGCTTAGGAAATTTTCAATCATCTGGAGTTCTTTGAGGGGCAGGGACATCGAACAAAACACGAGCTTAAACCGCCGCAGCCGGGTAGTCTTCTTTCCTGTGTTCGTCATATTTCTTCCTCTAATACGTATCACTCTGTCATCGGCCACTAATCCAGCTACAGTGATGCAGCCTATTCATGAGAGAGTGACAAGCCCTCATCAAAAACGCGTTAAAATACCAGCGCAGATAGCTCTACGGCGTGTCTCGTAATCATATGGCGGTTTCAGGCCGTCAAACTCTACATATCGATAATTCAATTATTCAACCAATCAATCAATCAGATATCTCACTAGCTGAAACGATATTTGAGAGAAACACCTGTGTCGCTATGTGTCGCCGATAGCCACTACCACAGCTGATGCGGTGAGTTGAAAGCAAACTATTGTTCGAAGAGGTGGGGACGAGCATTCGGGGGGCCACACTAAAGGCGGAATCGAGCGGCCGTTGGACAGAACTCAAAATAAATCTCATGAGTGAATCGGAGTGTGCTCCGCAAATTTCTCCTACCTATCGACGACGTAATACACGACGGTCTTTTCACATTATTCTTGTCATGACCATCCAGACATATTCGTCATACGCTGTTATCATAATTACCCATGAAAATTTAGTCTACCACAGCATAAGGAGGTCGTCACAACAGCGCCCAGACGTAGGCGGCTATATATATAGATGAAGATATGTTGAGATATACAAATATAGAAAATTTACAATTGCATACATCCGCTAACAAGCAAAATGCTATGTGACGAGTCTCCCAGCCCCTTTTTTTTTGGCCCCGCAAATCTGCGGAGAACAGGTATGAAAACATTAGGACATCGATCTGTAATGTGCAGCGAAGGGCAGCTTCCCGTAAATATAATCTGTATGCGCCGCGCGCGGCAGCTCCAAGTAACTATACCGACAAACAAAGAGACAGGGCATCAGAACAATAAAAAACAGGAACAACTTTATTCCAACGCAAAATGTGACGCAGATGAACCCTCAAGTAGACCACTCAATCGACTGCGCGGTCGGAGGATGTACTCTCGCTGAGCTCCAACACATTTTCATTCAACAACTCCAGTCGGATCAAGATGAAGTCATAATCGCACCTGGTCGTGCGGACTCTTCCGATCGGGTCGCTCACTTCCCGAACTATGCGTCGCATCTGGAGCCGTACAGTGCGCATATGCGCCTTGTAGAACTTCAGGAACGTCATAAGGACGAATTTTCTGAGCTCGGGCGAGTACGACGAGCCTGGATCCAGGGCGTCCTCGACCTCATCGCACACGGTCACCCTGAGGGTCTCGTGGAGCAGGTAGTCGTTGTAGGCTCCACCCTCGTCCGGTCGGCCCCTGACCAGAGCCGGGACGTTGTGGTAAGGGTCGTCCGTCACGATCGATTGGAGGGCGATGAGCACCGTCCTCAGGCTGTGCTCAGAAAAGTTCCACATGGGTCCCGACCATGTCCCCAGGAGAGAGAGGGATATCATGCCGTCTTCATTCGGGTTCGGCGCGAACCGTTCTTGTCCTTCGTTGATAGTCAGAAACTTGACGAGAGGTGGCTTAGCTGGGAAGGCGGGTGGGCACTTGAGAACAAACCGGAAGAAGCCACTTTATTAAGGCGTGCCCGCAGGCCCCAGTAAGAGGCCGTGGATTCTGGTCACGTCCCTCTCATCCGGTACGATGATGACTCCGGCAATGAGCAGAGCGTAGATGTCCATGCCGAGATGCCTGACCTTGTGCAGACAATGCAACGACGGCGTTCCGACGTTCTTCAGCACGCAGGATTGCTTCTGTTCAGACCGTGATCTTACGTACCGAAGCTTCTGGCAATATGCCGTTGACGGAGCTCGAGCCTCTTTCACCGGCAGCGCGCGTGTTTCTTGCTTGCTTGCTTGTTCCTTTCTTTTGTGGCTCTCACCCACTAAGGGGGATTGGCCAAGAAGCCGGTGGTTAATGCAAGTAAATACCTATAGATTTTCTAGATTAGGGGAATATGAATACTGTGTTTTGACTGTGAAATTAATTTGGCGCAATGTTAAAAAAAGAAAAAAAAAGAAAAAAAGGGGGTGGGGAATAATAGAATTTGTTAAATATCTGTGGTGGAATCGTTATATGAAATTCTCCTGAAAGTTGAATCATTGCAGTGTATCAGCTAAATAATTTTAGTAAGTGGTAGTGTGACTAGTAAAATTCGAGAGCTGATGGCTGACTCAGCAAGGTAATCTTCTTGTGTTATATATGAAATCGCAGAGAGCCCCGCAGATGTTCCTGTCGCTATGTCCCAATGAAATGGCCCCAAAAGACAAAATATTGGGAGTATTAATGATATTCCTAATTTTCCGAATAAAATTTCGAAGCAGTTTTTTCTTTGATTTTTGAATCGGTGACATGTGATGAGAAAATGGTCGATATGTTCAGGTTCGTTACAGCTTGAGCACAGAGGGGATGGCACCAGACCAGACCTGTTTAAGTAGAAATTAAGAGGTGGTACACGGCAACGTAATTTTGTTACCAAGACTTCCAATTTACGCGTGGGACACCATTTATTATTCCATGTGAAGTGCAGGTGCGAGAAATCTGGATTCGGTATCATGGTTTTTGATGAGTCTTCAAGAAGGGAAAGTTTTCTAAACCTCGCTGCTGTTACATAAGCTGTAGGAGGCATGATTGGCACAATCGGAAGATCAAGAGATGTTCGCGCAAGTTTGTCAGCCATCTCGTTTATAAATATACTACGATGGCCTGGCACCCATATCATTCGCACTAAACGGATGTTTGCTGGGATTAATGATTTAAAAGTCTCTAGTACTGCTGATGTCGACGACGATGATAAGAATGAACACACAGAATACGAGTCAGTCACTATCACAGCTGTCGAATGAGTCACAGGAAGTTTACGAATAGCTAGTATAACGGCCGTTAATTCCGCTTCAAATATTGGTGTATAATCTGGGAGGCGTAATGAAAATGACCAGAATAATGAGAGACAAAAAATACCCACACCTGCCTTCTCGCCACTCATAGATGCATCCGTTGCAATTACTGTATTAGTACCTAATTGAGACAGGTGTTGTTCTAATAAACCAATCAAATATTTAGAGGGCAAGTGTTTAGCGTTCATGGGAAAGATATCGTCAAATTCTATTTGCACTTGGCCGATTGGTTTGACAGATGGTGTGATCTCGAATATATTAACATTTAAAGCATCTAGAAGTGTTTGAACAAATAGCACTTGGGGTTTATATAAACGGGACCAATGCTCATTGAAAAAGACACCAGGCTCGGCAAAAAATACAAATTGTCGCCTTCTTAAAGTGGATTCAGAAAATTTTAAATAGGTGTTTACTGTTAAAATACGAAATCTGCAAGCAAGGGTGGGTATCCGAGCTTCTTGATACAAAACATTGTTAGCTGTGAATTTTGGCACACCTAAACAACTACGTAGGGCTTCCCGCTCTAAGAGAATGAGGGGGTTTATTTTGTATGCTGGTCCACCAGAGAATAGTACACATCCAAATTCAAGAATCGGACGAACGTACATGCGATAAATCATGATCATCGTATCTCTGCGAAGACCGGAACGGAGGCGGCCAAGCCTACTTACCATTCCAACAGCGCGTGTAGCCTTAATTTTAATATATTCAATGTGGTCACGCCAGCTCAGTTTTTGATCGTACAGTACTCCCAGATATTTAATACAATTAACCTGGGGTATTATTTCTTGATGGTACTGAAGAGAAATAGTAACTGGTGCGTCCAACGGAAAAACTATTATAGCACTTTTAGTTACGTTCAGGTTCATATGAATTTTCTGAAACCAGGTTTCTAATGTTGCCAAATAACACTGTAAAGTCGAATGTAGTGAATAAATATCGTTGTCAGATGCAAAGAACGCGATATCATCTGCATATACATATACGTGTACCTTATCACTCTGTGGTATCGAACTTAACAAAATGTTAAATAGCACAGGCGATAGAACAGAGCCTTGAGGAACACCTCTCGTTTGGCTATACTTCGGCGTGGAAATACCTCGTTGGAAGCAATAAAATTTTCTGTCTTTTAAAAATTCGTATATCCAATTTGTTATGTACTGCGGGAACGTAAGATCTTTTAGGACATTGATAAGAATAGCATGTTCAACACTGTCATATGCCTTGGCTAAATCAAGGGTTACTAGGGCTGCATATTGTCGTCTGTGCCGAGCAAGCTTTATACGAGCCTCTAAATCAACATGCGCCCACCATATAGAGTAACCTGGTCTAAATCCAATCTGGCACGCACTGAGTATCGCATTATCTGTTATGAACTTCGTAACTCTAATGTAAAGTATTCTTTCTATTAACTTAACTACGTGTGATGTTAAAGCGATTGGCCTAATGTTATCTATCTGCATTCCTAGTCCCTGTTTTTTAAGAAGCGGTATTATTTTTGCAAGTCTCCAGTCAGGAGGTATCCAACTATTTTCAAGTGAATAGTTGACAACGTTAAGGAGGTCTTCAGGAGAGATGTCGAATAATATTTTTAACATTTCCGAAGTGACGCCATCTGGTCCAGGACCTGTGTTTGGCAGAATACGAACGACCTGCGCAAGTTCATCCCTACTTACTTCAATAAAATCATTTTCGAATGACGGTTTTGCACACTTTATTTTGATTTGTGATGTAAATCTCTTCTCCAATTCTATTGCAATTTCCGTTAATGTATTTTCCAAATCAGTTGGAGAAAAAATAACTGAGTCAATATTTACGTGTGCTGTAATAGCTTTACGATTACGGAGAAATCTGAATAGAGCTTTCTTGTTGCCACTCTTGGATAAGTAGCTGTACCGTTTTTCTTCATAATCGTCTTTCGCTAATGAAACTGTTCTCCTAAAGGTAGCTTTAGCAAATAAATAATTTCTCCAATTAGTCGGACATTGGTTGGTGAGGAGTTTTTTCCATGCAGCGTTGCGGCGTCTATAATCTCTGGCGCAATCCGCATTCCACCAGGCAGATATGAATTTTCCCTTTGTTGAAGATATAGTGAACTGTGATTTTTTAATTGTACACTTTAGGGTGGAACAAAGGCTCATAGCTTTCATATTTGTTTCCATATTGGGCAAGGAAGACAGCGTTGACTGTAAGTTCTTTTTAAATTTAGAGTAGTTTACAAAACTTTGCACCTGGCGATCCACCGTCACTAAAGGAATGCTGGCTTCAAATACCAGAGGGCAGTGATCACTACTTGTAGCAGTATCAAGAACAGTCCAAGACAATATTGTCACACTTGAGCTAGCAAATGTCAAGTCTAAGACGGACCTCGAATTACATCGAACGAATGTCGGAACTCTGGAGTTCCAACAAATAAGGTTATTCCGGTTAGTCCAGTCCCACAACCGCTTTCCTGATGAATCAGTGCGGAATCCCCATGAAACGTGATGGGAATTGAAGTCTCCCACAAATAGCATACTGTTTCTGCAAAAACTCGCAGTCACGTCAAGGGCTCTTTCATCTTGTATTCCAGCCGGAAAGTAGTTGTTGACTATAGATAGTGGCGCGCATCCGGGAAAGTGAATTTCCAGAACCAATACTTCATAATCGTGTGATATTTGTTGGTAAACTAAGTGTGCTTTATGGCAAATTTTGGATGAAATGAAAAACATTAATCCTCCACCACGTGAGTCTCGGTCCAGTCGAAAGCACTGATAGTCTTTTAGATAGAAGTTTTGATCAGAAGACAGCCAAGTTTCTTGTAAAATTATGACGTCTGGAGATTGTTGAGAAATTAGATATAATAAGTCTGTAGTTGCAGAGAGAATTGAACGGCAGTTCCACTGAAGTATTCTAAGGTACCCTATGATGATAAGCAAGCAGTAGCAACTGCTTGATCTAAGATACTATCTTTTAAGAAGTCCGCTTTAGTCCTAGGTTCCTTCACACTCTTTTTTGTTTTCGGATGAGAAGAATTATTAAGTTTGCTAGTGGGTGATCTGGTGCGTTTCAAAAGGCGAGCATCCATATCTACATCTCGATTAATTACTGATTCTGAATCAGATATACCTTCCTGCTCAGTTGTGTTAGGACTGGAAAGCATTGCCTCATTATCGATAGAGACATCTGACTGATGTTCGGCAGGTTTACTAATTGAGGCACTAGGAGGTTGGATACGCTTAGTTATTCGATCAGATGTACCCGGCATCTGTGAATCCATAATACTATTGAGTGAGTCGGACAGATTGAGTAAAAATTTTTCTAATACTTTTTCTACAGCCTTTTCTACCATAGCAGAAATGGACTGAGAAAGTGATGCATCCATAGAAAGAGGTGAACGAGCTGCTATACCGGCATAACCCTGACTCCTGCTTTGAATTTCTGCAATTGCTTCTCTACGAGAGCATCGTCTCCTTTCAATGATTTCAATCACCTGAAGTTCCTTTGATCTTGCAGGGCAGTTAGGATCGTCTGCAGCGTGATTTGCCTTGCACAAACAGCATGTCTTATTGTCTGATTGACACTCAGCAGTACTATGACCAGCCCCGTATATGGCTCCACATATGCGGCATCGAGTCTCCGATCGGCAACCTCTAGTACTGTGTCCAAAGCGCCAACATTTAGCACATTGCAGCGGACGGGGAGCCAAAGCTTCGACCTTATAAATAAGCGGCCATGCCTTGATCTCCGAAGGGCGATCTGTTCCAGCGAATGTGGCAATTACAGTTTCAGTGGGAACTTTCTGT